AAGAGAGTGTGTGAGGGGGCTGCGGAGCCTCTGTGTGTGTGTGTGTGTGTGTGTGTGTGTGTGTGTGTGTAAGAGAAAGAGGTAAAAGAGAGAGAGAAAAGCACAAAGATACATACACAAAGAGAGATAATGAACCCCATTTGTGAGAAAGAGAGATGTCACCTAGGGTAGGACTATAAAACAATACCACTCTACATGAATGTAAGAGGGTGTTCAGGGGTGTCAAAGGGTTGAGTCCCTGACAGAGGATTTAGTCCTTTTGTGTATGTCAAGAACAGTTTTCTGTGGGTATAAGAAGGTCATGTCCTCATGTGGTGAGAGAGCAGTGTCCCAGGTGAGAGGATTGAATTCTCATGTGCATAACAGGGTCCGTTATCTATGGCTTCCAGAAGTCCCGGGAGCATGGCTCTGGGTGTGAGTTAACCAAGTCCAGTAAGCATGGGGAGCAGTAGACCTATGGGTGTGAAAAACCCTAGGCTCACTCATGAGAGAATGTTACAGTTATCTATTGCTACATAAAAAAACTTTCTGAAGTTCAGTGGCATAAAACAATGACCATTTTATTATATCTCACAGCATTGTGGGTTAGAAGTCTGGCCCCGGGAACAGTGGGGCTCCTCCTTGGCTGTGGCCTCAGCTAGGATGGCTCGAATAGCTGTAGATGGCTGGGTGCCTCAACTGGGCCCATACTGCTCCTTGGTTCTTCTGTAAATTGTATCTGGTGAGGCTGACTTGTTTAAGATGGCTTCTGCTCTCATATCTGGCACCTGGACTGAGATGGCTAGAATACTTGAGGTTGGTCAATCGTATTTTCAGGTGACTACCTGGAGCATTTCATGTGGTAGCTATCACTTCCGCCAAGCTAGTGCTCTAAGAGAGAAGGTAGACGTTGCAGTTTCTTGCAGAAGGACTGAGCCTAGAATATGACATAGCATTATTTCAGCTGTATGTAATGATTAATGCAATCACAGAACTTGCCTAGATGCAGAGAGAACACAGAGCCCATCTTTGCATGCGAAGAGTATCAAAGAATTTGTGGCCTCTTCAGTCTGCCATTATGATCGGTGAGTCTCATTGTGTATAACAGAGCTGGACCCTCATGTATTCGAGAGGTCAGGATCCTCAAATGTGAGACAGAATCCCTGTCTCCTGTTCATGTTGAGAAGATGCCAGAGATAAGGGACTGGGGTGGGCATGTGACTGGAGGTAGGAGAATTGATACCACAATGATCAATGAGCTTGAGTCTCACTGTGCATAACAGCACTGGATCCTCAGATACTTAAGAGGGCAGTACTGCAAGTGTTAGAGAGGACCCTTCTCTTCTGTTCCTATTGGGAGGATGCCAGAGATGTGGGACTGGGGTGGGCATGTGACTGGAGGTAGGAGAATTGATAGGACAAGGAGGTTTCTAAAGGGGGTGGAATGAGCTCTGTGCCTCCTACTTTCTGCACCTGACTGGTACTCTGAAGGGATGGCAAGCCAAGGATGTTCCATTGCAGATCTCAGAATGAGCAGCATCAGGTGGCTGGTCTTCTTTCACTTTCACTCCTAGGCTTTCTTACTCATTCCACATGTTTGTTTCAGGTGGACATGCAGTAAAAAATTCTGCACCATGCACTGTTTTTAAAAGGAGTTTGGTCAGCTATGAATCTGGCAGGAACAGTTCCCAAGACTACCCTCGTTTCTGACACCAACTACACATTTGAGAGTTTCCCCAAATTACCTTTAGTTTCTATAATTTACCAGAAGGATTTACAGAATTCACTGAAAGCTTTTACACTCATGGTTATGGTTTAGTATGGAAAGAGGATACAGCCAAAAGGCAGCCAAGAGAAGAAACACATGGGGTAGGGAGTCAGGGAAGCATCAAATATGGCGCTTCCATGTTCTCCCTCCATGGACTCAGAAGACATTACCTTCCTAGCATCATTCTGTGACAGTTAATTAGAGTATTGCCAACAAGGAGAGCTTGTCAAAGCTCAATATTCAGCCATTTGGGGGCTTCCTTGCATTATGATTGATTACTCACCTTTATTGTTGATTTCATCTCACCAGTCTTCTGGTCACCTAATCCTGTAACCCAAAGGCCTCACCCTAAATCACATTGATGATCTTTCTAGAAAAGCCAGTCCCCACCTTTAAACATAGTGTTACTAATTTAACCAGCTCAAGGACCCAAATGAAACAAAGATGACCTCACTAGAGCCAAGAGCAAAGGCAGACTTTTTTTTTTTTTTTTTGGTAAGGTTAAATTCTTTATTGGACAATCACAGAAAGAAGGCAGCCAGTTGAGTGGATGGGCTTCCCTCATGTGAATACTTTTTGTGACCTCCAAGAACTAGGATGACATGTTTCTCTGTAGCAGGAAAATTCTGGAAACTTTAATGTTTCCACTTCCAAATAATAAAATGTTTCGGGTCTTCTTCCTCTCCTCTTCCTTCTTCCTCTCCTTTTTCTTCTCTTCCTCCTCTTCCTCTCTCCTCCTTCTCCTGTTTCTTTTCCTCTCACTGTGTCCTCCACTTTTACTCCTCCTTCCTCTTCTCTTCCTGCTTCCTCTCCTCCCCCTTCTTCCTCTTCTTCTCCAGTGGCCATTCCTCCTCCTCTCCTTCTCTTCTCCTCCTCCCACTCTATTTTCTTCTTTGCAGCCCTTTCTATAATCCTGAGTACCACATTTTATTTGTTTGAGACATTAAGGGAATGAATGGGGTGGGAAATTCCTTTCTTTCTTTCTTTCTTTTTTTTTTTTTTGGAGAGGTTTTTGTCGCTATAGGGCACGTGCGCTCGCCAGACAGACAGAGAGAGACATAGAGACAGAAAGCGAGAAATCACCCCCCAGGGGGGATGGTCACGCCTCAATCCCTTCTCCTCCATTCTCCTCTCAGGATCTTGGGCATGCACGCACATGTGCCCGGCGTGAGTTTTAAGCCACCGGGCCCGGGACGCGAACCGCGGTCGACTATGTGGGAGTCCAGCGACATAGCCATTACGCCAACTGCTGGTTCCCAAGCGGCTTAGAAATTCCTTTCTTCTACAATATTTCTTTCTTCTTCTTTTATCTTTTCTAATCCCTGCTTCCTGACCCCCTGACACAGAGACAGAGTATTGGCCCGACCAGCCCCTTGACCTTGAAATTCCTCCTTCTAGCCATTCCTTCAGACTCTTCATCTTTAGTAATTTCCTGTTTTCTGTTTAGTTTCTCCTTCCAGTGAAATGTGCTCAAACACATCAACTCTTCCAGTCACCATTTTTTGTACTTTCTAAACCTTCCATTAAAAAAATAATAATTCCATGACTGAGAAAGAACATCAGCACCCCCAAAAGTCTCCCAATGTTGTGATCTGGGAGCCTGAATCATGGACATATGTGTACCCAGAGTACTCAGGGAAGTCTCAGGACATGAACCCAGAATCTTCCCATGTGGTTCAGCCTCGTAGAGGATTGTGTCTTACCACTGCACCATCATCCAGGTTCCCATCTAGTTTTAAACTAAGCCATTACCTGTTTTTCCTTTTTTTCTAATTCTCTACCAATGAAGTCATAAAGTTTGTGACTAGTATTTATGTGGTTCTGTGTGTATCAATCCCTTGTTTTTGCATACCTCGGATCTGTGTGTGTTTATTTTTTTTTCCTTTAAGTAATAACACCCTAATTTTACAAAACAATGTCTTCATTTGGGACTAACAATCCAGCTGGTACTGTCAATCAAGATGTCCACTTGGGGCCCACCCCCTAGCACTGTGCTTAAGTTCTTGCATTGGGGGGCTGGCTCCCACATGACTGACCATGGTT